TGGACGCTACTATATTGAGGGTCGACGAGCAAGGCCTCACGGAAGAGTTCTCCGCCGCAGTGGCGCAAGATGGACGTCAATGCTTCTCAAGTGTTCACACCATAAACCCAAGAGTGGTACTATTCCCAGGGAAGTCTCATTCATCACACCTTGAGTTGGGAGTAGGAGACGCTAGACAAGACGTCCGCTCTGATCTCTGGAGGCTCTGCGAAAATGGACTCGTCGCTATTCGACCTCAGCATGGTGATCAAGAACGAGTGGCCGGTTCTTATAGTGGAGCTTACCGAGACAGATTCACTATGACGTTGGAGTTATTTAAGGACAGCCCCCCTAAGGTTTCTCTACAAGAATGCGAACCTGGGACTTTGGGAAAGCTTGTGAAAGTTGTTTATCACAACGTCTGCAACTTCCTCATCGTTCATCCGATCTTCCAGAAAAACGAGCAATCGTACTTCTTCCGCATCGTACTCACTCCAGGAATCACTGATCTCCTCACTGATATTACGTGCAAAAAGAGCAAACGGTCCTATGATTTAGTGCGACCTCAGCGAGAGAGATCTACGCCTCGTGCCCCACCCTCTTGTGCCTTCTACTTGGAGAACGACAAATCCTTCTCCAGCTCTAATATCTTTACATGGGATCAGATTCTCCGAGTGGGCTTCACTGTGCGTCATCGCGGAATACCTCGCAGATCTGGGCTCACTGACGCGACGTTTACGGCATGAACATGCTATTTCATACCAGTCTAATCAGCCTATTGTCACCATGTCACTCGATGATGTCTGATAATGTTAGTGGCACCAACTTGATATATATATGATAACGGTTTATTGCGTTGTATCGCGTTAGATCAGGATCGCGCACTTCTACGAAAGCATCACATGAACCCAACCTCACTCCGTTGAGTTGGTCGGCATCTCCGTGTATTAAAACGGAGACACTTCGTGGTCTGGAGTTCTCCTATTCAAATTTGGATCAACCCTCGAGATTGGATCAACTCCGGAAGACCTCGAAATTATCTTGGGGTAGTGGTACACGATACCTTGGCAAGACTCATATCTTGCCAAGGTATCTTAGATATGCCTCAATACGATCCACTCCGCGGTGGTAGGCGATAGGAGGATCACTGTCGTCTATTCGACCAAACTAACTTCAATTTCTACGAGTCGTGTGAATGAGTCCGGCTGTAAGTAAGGCCGTCTCTGCCGCAGATGGTCTCACCAACAGCGAAATTGAAGGTCTCCACCTCCGGTCCATAGTATCCAATATAAATTATATTATATAATGCGTCGCGAAGACTCACAATAGCATATCTGCTCTCGAACGGCACTGGCCAATGACGTTCGAGAAGGTGGTGCCATTCGCACATTACCACCCTACTAGGGTGACCCTAGGGATTGAAGCAGGACATATCTTGGGGTGGCATAGCTGCCCCGTCTACAGATATCGTCATTTATGGATGGCATAGTTACCCCATCTAAAGAAATCGTGATTTTCGGATGGCATAGTCGCCCCATCTAAAGATATCGTCATTTGTGAATGGCATAGTTGCCCCACCTGCTCCCGGAGCAGTGCTCCGTTGTGACGTCCTATGCTCCAAGATGAGCTTTCAAAATCGATCACAATGGCGCAGCGCGATTGTCAAGCTCTTGCAAAGTTGTTATGAACGCCGGCGAAAAACGGCGGAGCGAAGCACTTCGGTGGAGGCATATGCTTTCCTCCGCTGCCTATGTAGGTATTACATCGCACTTGATCGATTCATTCTCATAAGACGTTTAACTTCAATAGGGGGGCTATTACGTAACGATTTTTCGCCTCTCCTCAACTGCGAAGTTCGATTGATGAGCGTTGCGGGCGTCGCTTTTCATAGTCGGATGAACGCTATAGTTCCTATTACTGCGAGGTGTAGCCCCTACCATCGCTAAGATCGGTATATAACTTGTGTTATCGCCATCACTAGTAGTGACTGGCAGGGGAGGTCCGTGACTGCAGCGAGTGAGAGATGTTCCTCTGGCGAGTAATAGTTGGCATTCTGCTGCACACAAAAAGTTGTATTCATTGGAGTGGAGGTCGACCTCCACCCCGAGTCGAACAGGCGTGTACCCCCTCGTGAATTCGTAATTGGTTTCACCCGTCTGCTTCTATTGTATCGGTCCACGAGTTGTTGGTCGCATGCTCTGCTGATATCAGGCCAAGCTTGTATGCCCTCAGGCGAGCTCGACGAGTATCGCTGTTGAGTGTCGTGTGTATCAGTGAGTAGTCATCAGTACTTCCCATCTCAAGGCCTCTACCTAATACCCCCCCCATTATCGGCGGGCATAGTGCCGGTGTTGGTTGTATAATAACTGAAGAGGTGGTGAGCCAACTAACAGGAGTTCATGCCGTGACTAGCCTTGTACAGATTAGTCTTGTTTACTGATACCGGTCAGCTCATATATCTATTGATTTCTTCCTCCTCGTCAATGTCAGCCCCACAGGCTGTCTTGGACTGTTCCCTTGCAAGCACCACCGACTGCTCCCCTGCTGAGAGCCCCAGGACCTCCTCCACGAAAGTGGAAGAGAACATGAGACTCCTAGTAGGATGTAAATCGTCTAAAGTCGGTTTCCACTGTTCTCTCTCAAGGTTCACATTCGCGACAGGAGTTTTGTGATACCTTGTGGTGATGGCAGTCGGCACATCAGATGGCTAGGTAAGGTCACCGTAGTCGCTTAGGAGAAGACCTCCATCTCAGCTAATATGGGTATAGCACGTTACTGCCCAGTTTACAGCAAGCGGGGTT